TGTATGTGTGTGTGTGTGTGTGTGTGTGTGTGTGTGTGTGTGTGTGTGTGTGTGCGTGCGTGTGTACACACATAAGCAGCCACACTTTTAATTTTATTAACATCAACTCTGTCTGTTGCATTCCTGGCATATTTCCTAAAACTGTGTTCCTTCCTCAGTAGTGTTCATTGGGATTCTGCAGTCCAGAACTAACCATGCATTTATTCCCTGGGGCTGTAGGCAGAGCAGCCAGGGCTAACCAAGCCTGACAGGTGATGCTTAAAGCTCTGGGTAAGGACTTATCAAATGCCTGGAGAAAAGGATGTCGTATGAATGGGTATAAAATTAGCTGTTTTCTCTGTATTTGGGTCCCTGAATTTAGTCTGTTATCATATTTAACCAAACTGTACTAACACATGATTTATTTTTTATTATGAATTCGAGCGCAGTGACGGTGATATTTCTCACACACACACACACACACAGCTTTTTTTTATTGTATATAAAAACAGCAGATTGTGCGAGTGTGTGCATTTATGTTCACCCTGACTCTCAGCAGCTCCCACTGCCCTCCATAACCTRTGCACAAGCCCACATCCGCGACGCCTCGCTGAGGCGGCTTTACGCCAATCGGGGGCCGAGGAGGAGCGAGCACGAGGAGGGCCGGGCCGGGCTCGGAAAAGGGAAAGAGCAGCTGTCGTCATGGTGACAGATAAGGATGCCTCACTGGTATCGACAAGACGATGGGATGAGGCGAGGACACTTCAGGTGGCGCCAGAATWTCGCCAAATTCGGGCGACACAAACACAGCGTTACTCAAACCTGTTGCTTTTAACTGTGCCTTGGAGCAACGCGACAGATTGCATTTTAATAAGTTTTATGGTGGAATCAGAGCTACAGGGTAACATGGCTGTATATTAAATCTCAGAGCTCTCTCCACTACAGTAGTAGAGGATTAGTGCAAAACCATGTGTCGTGCTGTCATGGAAACAGGACCAATCAATTGTTCTCAAAACAATTCGAACACAGTTATTGGAGATTAAATTTTTGATTAAAAARATAACACGTAAAGTAATAAAAACTAGTGGGAGTTAAATTAGTTTCAACTTGAAACCAGTAACACAGAACTCTGAAGTCAGTTTGCTTCTTGCCCTTCCTCCTYCTTTCCCCCCGCCTTCAGCTCAACTCCATTTTTAACCCCATTCACCACAGGCACCATCTCTCTAGTTCCACTCGATCGACTGTAGCACATTAAAAAAAAATAATAAAAAAACAGAGGAAGTGGGATCGAGCTTTTACAGCCACCATTCTCCTTGCGCTCAGCATTGCCCTCTCCTTTAAAATGCATCCCTCTTTTCCCTTCACATGTCTGAATAAATTAAAAGCATTACATAATCAATCTTCCCCGATCCTCCTTTGGAACACCCTCACACCTTGTTTGAAATGGCACACAGTAATCCCAGACCTGATCATCACCATTACCTGTTTGTCCACCAGCTCACGTCGTTACAGTTACACTGCAGCTCAAAGCATCAGAGGTGTCCGAATCAAGTCTGAAGCTGTATTTGGGTCAATGCAAATAAATGCAGACAAATCCATCCCCTATATAAAGACGTGTTTGACATCTGTTTCATCTTTAAGCCCAGACGGGAGAGCCTGACAAGTAAATATGTAAGAGCAGAGAGCTGATTCGCTTGCTTGTATCATCTTTGCAGCACAACACATCAGCATTTACTGCACTGGCAGATCCACTGCATTCCAACATCCTCCTGTCTCTGTACCCACAGCACAGCTGCACCAAAGCACCTATAGCACCACCGAGCAAACACACACACTCACACACACACACACGCCTTCAGCCAGCCTTACCATGTTTGTGGCATGTAACTGATCAGGGAGCGTATTCATGGAGAAATCCCAGTTCATACGTTCATGATAATCAAGTCTCTTTAGGAAGCTGCAGAGGCGTCGGTCCTCCGCCGTGAGCTCAGCCTGAGAGGTATCGAGAAGGAAGAAACTGTATATCCAGAAAGAGGTTCCTCTTTCCGACGCACCGAGCGAGTCTCGCGGTCTGTCTTCCCTGTGTCTGCCAGCCCTCTTATGTAATACACTTATACCCCGAGTCTGGGAGCCAATCAAAGACGCTCTGCTCGGAGCCGGCGAAGAGCACGCGCGCACATCGCCGTGGTCTCACTCCGACACATCTGCACACTGACGCTCCTGCCTGCACGGCGTACAGCAAGAACTCTTTGTAGAGAGGCACCTGCCCTGGGGGGACTGCAGATGTGCGGACGACTCGGGAGGTGAAGAAGAACGACATTGTGCACCTTCTCTCCACACCTGACAGGCTTTTCACGTGAACACACATCTGTAAGTAGGTTATCGGTGCAACCACTGCAGCACACCTGTCCGGAGCTGGTGACATTATCATCCGAAAAACAGGCATTTTTACAGTCCTGTGTTTGTGTGTGTGTGTGTGTGTATGKGGGGGGGGGGGGGGGGGTGTCCCAGCTGTTTATACCACAGTGAGGACAACACCAGCCCACATGCAACGGCATGTGACGGAGGTTCACCACACGCCTGTAACCATACAGCATTTAGCACTTAACTGCACACAGAGAAGACAGAGCACTTAGAGCACATAGGGTGTCTTAAAGAGATCTTAGCCAGTCTAGCTCTATAAATAGGACTGCCATGGATGGCTCTGGGACAGGCTTTTAGCATATCTATTTCTGAGATTCATGCAACATTCATGGCACCTGCCTCTGATCCTTTTATAGCACTTTGCCACGGAAGCTGCGAGAAGAGCGAGGCTTTCTTATTCCATCAAGCAGCTGACGAGCTTTTTTCACTTATGTCTGGAGCAAACATTAACGTATAATTACACATCTCATAATAATCAGTACAAATGAGCGCCACTGTGCAAACTGCAGGGGTGGGAATATTGGGGGCTGTGAAATGGGAGCTGAGTTTAGCCGAATCTAAAATGGGGGAAACCTGGAGAGAYGGAGGCCCTCCTTTATTAGGCCTAGCCCTGCCTGCTGTCGGTTACTGCTCAGCTGAGATCACACTGATCCTCCAGAGTCAACACAGAGCGGCGCAGGGCCTCTCACTGGCAAGGCTGTTTGCTACAAATATCACATTAACTTCTGCGCAGAGATCACTGCACAGCTATTAGATGCCATATTGTGAATGTGACTACAGAGGATTCATAACGGAGGGGAAACAACAAGCCTGACGCAGATGTAGCTTTAAAAAAACCTGCTGTGTTTTTGATCTAAAAATCTAAATGTTGCAGGATAACAAGCCACGCTCATAATTCACAAAATACAACATGAGGGGAGAAGGAGATCGACGCTGGAGGGGGGACATGTTTGGGGCTTTATAGTGGGGTGGAGGGTAGGAATTTCCAGTCACCACATTAAAGGTAAGAGCATCACAGATCCGGTTCGACTCCAAGCACCACTAAAGACAACACTCTATCACAGACGGTGACAAGACAGAACGGAGGTTTGGGGAGAGGGGTGGGGTGGTGGTGGTGGTGGGGGGAACAGAAATACATGATTAGGTTGTACCAACGTCATTCATTGCAACGCGTATCCGTGATGGAGCGCCGGGTGTCCCCGCTCTGGACCAACGCGCACCGCCGTGCTCTCCTCTCCGGTACGTGAGCGCGGCGCGCTGCTGCGGACCGGGCCCCAAGCGCAGATCCATTAACGAGTACCGAGGAGGAACATCAACAGCACGTTCACGAGCACCAGAACCGCGATCACCGTAAACACCGCGCAAGTCTGGACATCCAAGGCCATCGTCATCATCATCATCATCGTGGATGGCGCAGCGCTGCGGGCCGATGCTCAAGATCGGTGCTTCGGCTCCCCTCAGCCCGCGTTTTACACGGGCAGCTCCGTGAAGC